GCTTTCCCTGGTTGTGCTGGCCCTGGCGTGGGGCTTGTTTTTTAGGCCCTGCCTGCCCACTCAAGAGGTAAGAACGCTTAAGAATCCTTGATCGTGGGGGCGCCCGGGGGGGGGGGGGCTCAGTAGTGTAAGCGTCTGACTCTTAGTTTTGGTTCAGATTCCTGATCGCGAGGTTTCGTGAGTTCGAGCCCCGCATCGGGCTCTGCTCAGGCAGCACGGAGCCTGCTTGGGATTCTCTGTCTCCCTCTCTCTGTCTGCCCCTTCCCCACTCGTGCTGTCTCTGTCTCTCTCCAAATAGATAAATAAATAAAAACTTAAAAAAAAAGAATCCTTGATGGCGGAAGAGTCGGGAAGCAGGGAGTCCCGGCCCAACCTCCTGCCTCAGGCGTGGACAAAGAGGTCTTTGGATTTGCGGACACTTAGAGGTTCACGCAGCCCTCGCACCCTTGCCGTCCGGGAGCCCCTTGCCCTGGAACGTGTTGTCCTCTCTTCCTGTCCTCCAAGGTGGCTTGAATTCACAGCCGTCTCCCAGGGATGAGGAAAGAATATCCCGTCGGGCATTATTTAGGGCCCGCTTGGCGGCTCCCGCTGGATCACCGGGGGGCGGGGGGGGGGGCGGGTAGCAAGGGCAGGGACAAGGACAAGACTGGGAATCAGGAATCTCTGTCTTGTGCAGCGCGGGCGATCAGGAGTCCTGGCAAGAGGTTACTCGGGGAAGCTGGAGGATGTTATCGACCAAATTGGGGTTTGGGGATTATCTATGGATTTCATTTATCTGTGTTTTCCCTGGTCTCTCTTGTTGTAGGTAATTAAGAGCTGATTGCTGGTAATTAAGAGTTGCTGAGAGAGGCAGCAGGATCCAAAAAGGAGACGCGCTCGTTTTGTCTTCCTGTGGACAGGCTCCTGGCGCCCGCCCCTCCCCCTCCGCTGCCCCCTCCCGCGGGGACGTGGGCCCTGGAGAGCAAGTCACAGCCCGTCCGCGGGAGTATCTGTGTATACGCTGTGCTCCGACTTCCTGCCGTCCTGTCATTCCCGGGCCTTGAGTGAAGGCTTTGCCGAGCGGGTTGGAGTCCTAATCTCCTGACGCTCAGCTGCGCAGAGATGTAGTTTCCGTAGTTGGCCCGGACGCAGTCTTAGTGGGCTCTTGAGCCCCCGTTAGAGCCGGTGGTGCACAACGTGAACTTGCCAAGTCAAGGAAGCAGCCATTTCACACTTAAGTCATGGTCACTCCGAGGCCGCCGCTGTCCCCTCCGGACTTCCTCTTGCCCTCTCTGCCCTGGTGTGAGCCGCGGCCCTGGGTTTCGGGGGGTGGGCAGGAGGGAGCCCCAGGCCGTCCTGGCCCTGAGCGAGGGACGTGTGTCCACGTGCTGCCCTGTGTCCTGCCCCAGCCACCGGGCTCGCTGGCCTCGGATGAGTTGTGCGTGTCCCTCGTGGACTAGAACACGAACCCCGATGCCCCAGGTGGCCACAGCCTCGGGGCCAGAGGCCCCGCATGCTGCTGCCCCACATGTTCCCGCTGGGACTCTTTGGTTGTGGCTTCTGGGTGCCGTGGGGGCTCCGGCGCTGTTGGCTGCTCTCTCCGCCGTGCTGGGGTGTGCAGGAGCCAGGCCGCTCTTGGGACCACTGCCGAGGCCCCTTAACCACGGCGACTTCACCTTCGTGGCTCCATGCTAAGTGTGGACTTCTCTCGAGGACATGACGTTTCCCCTGCTGGCTGCACTGGAGCAGGTCCCCCCCGCCCCCGCCCCCGCCCCTCCCTTCTCCATTTTTTAAACTTCTCCGGGGTTTCTGGGCCTCCCCCTTGCCTTGTACCATGCCTGTCCGGGCCCTCAGTTGCCATGGAGTCCTTTTTTTCTCTCTCTCTTTCTTCCTTTCTTCCTTTCTTAGTTCATTTCTTTGTTTTCAGAGAGACAGAGACAGTGCAAGTGGGAGAGGGTCAGAGAGAGAGAGTCCTAAGCAGGCTCCACGCTGCCAGCTGCAGAGCCTGACGCGGGGCTCGAACCCACAAACCGTGAGATCATGACCTGAGCCAAAAGCAAGAGCTGGACGCTTACCCGACGGAGGCCCCCTGGGCGCCCCGGCCTGGAGACCTTTCTACTGTAGGAACCTTTATCCCCTCGCCGTGCGTGAGGAAAACTGCCCTCATTCTTCTATATATTATGATCCTGCACGGATCAACGTGCCAAGTCCAAGGCGTGTGAAAAGCCAAGCTTTCAGAATTCCAGAACACCCTCTGGGTCCCAAGCACCTAGAGACTGCATTCGGACATCATGGCTCCCAGGAGCAGTCAACCTGGCGTAGATCGACGAAAGTCTCCTTGGGGACTTGGGGAAACGTTTTCATTCCTCGCAGACTAACATCGTGCTTGGGTGGCTCGGTTCCGAGGGCGAGTGTCCCAAGAGGGAGAGAGAACGAAAGAGAGCCAGGTGGAAGCCGTTTTGCATTTGGGGACCTAGCATCGAGCCCCATAGCCTCACTTGCTGCGTTGGTCGGAACAGGCACTAACCCATCCAGGTTCAAGGGGACAGGAGAAGGACACCACCTCTTTTTTTTTTTTTTTTAATGTTTATTTATTTTTTAAGAGCGAGTGCAAGTGGGGGAGGGGCCGAGAGAGGGGGCAGAGGATCCGAAGGGGGCTCTGCGCTGACAGCGGTGAGCCCCGATGTGGGGTTCAAACTCATGAACTGCGCGATCACCACCCAAGCCGGAGCCAGACGCTCAACCGGCTGAGCCCCCCAGGTGCCCCACCTCTTGATGGGGACGGCAAGATTCTCGAAGCTCACACGGGACTGCAGATATTGCTGTGGCCGTATTTGAAAAACATGAGCTATCATAACAGAAGCGTCCCAGGGGAAGAGTGGAACAGACCTTGCTGCACCATGGCAAAGGCTCAGAATCTGGGGAACCAGCCCGAGGGATACCCAGGGCTCCTTTAGCCCCGAACACAATCGAGGGGCCGATCCCCTGCCTGGATCAGAGATGCTGGGAGGACACTCACCCCGGGGCTTGCAACACACGGGGCACCCCTTCTGGGTTCGTCTTTGTTGTAATCCGGGGAGGACTAAGCCATCACAGCCACTATCACAGATGTTCTGGAAGGCCTACTATCGGTGGTTCCCGTGATGATTGATAGATAGCATGCCGTCTCTGCAATCCTGCATCTCTGGGCAGGGACCGAGGCAGACTGTTCTAATCCAGGGGGAGGAGTCTTCTGACAAAGGTAAGCATGAGTTTCTGGAGATGCATGTGGAGGGCACCTTCCCCGATGGGGCTTGCTGTGTGGGCTTGGAAAGGGGCCCTTCCTAGATGGGGCGCCATCCGAACTGGGTGGTGAGTGAGAAGCGGGAGCTGACCAGAACAAGAGCGCAGTGAGATGAGTGGAGCATGGGTTGAGTGGTGAGGGGGGAGGAGGGTGGACGGAGCACCGGGGACCCCCTCCGCCAGGCCTGCCAAGGAGTCGCGATGGACGGATTGATTTTCGCTTTCCTCTGTCCAGGGCGTCAGAAAATTCCCGGTGTCCTTGGGGAGGGTGCGAAGAATATGTGCTAGGTGGCTGTGGAAAGAGAGAGAAGGGGGCCGGGATGGAGGAGGAGGAGGAGGAGAGAAACAGGGGAGGGTCTTAAGGCAAAGGACTTTCTCGTGACCCGGCCTAGAGCCTTCTTGGGCAGAATCCGAGAGCCTAACACCCCATAAGTGAACTTAGGGGACATTGGAATAGCGTATTTAAGATCTGAAGCCCAGCTTTTCCCTGCCACACACCCTCTTACCTCCCTCCCCCGCTCAGCCCATCCACTCTTACTTAGCCAGTCTTTTTTTTTTTTTAGTTTTTTATTTAAAAACATTTTTTTAATGTTTCTTTATTTCAGAGAGAGAGAGAGAGTGAGCAGGAGTGGGGGAGGAGCAGAGAGAGGGAGACACAGAATCTGAAGCAGGCTCCAGGCTCCGAGCCGTCAGCACAGAGCCCGATGCGGGGCTCGAACTCATGACCTGCGAGAGCATGACCTGAGCCGAAGTCGGACGCTTCACCGACTGAGCCACCCAGGTGCCCCTCACTTAGCCAGTCTTAGTTTGAGAACTTGCTCTGTGCCAGGGACAGGACATGGCAGTTCGAAGTCTCTGGATTAATTAGGATCCAGTCAGGCTGAGAGTAACCGAAAGACCCCAAATGACAGCCACGTGTCCACGACAGAATTCGATTTCTCTCTCGTGTTTATGAAATCCAGATTTCGGTGGTCCCAGGCAGCTCTGAGCCACCTAAATCTGGGTTTTGTAAACACGAGAGAGAAATCGAATTCTCGTTTCTACGGTGGTTTATTTATTTATTTATTTATTATTATTATTTTTTTTATCGTTTATTTATTTTTGAGAGAGAGAGAGAGAGAGCATGAACGGGGGAGGGGCAGAGAGAGAGGGAGACACAGAATCGGAAACAGGCTCCAGGCTCCGAGCCATCAGCCCAGAGCCTGACGCGGGGCTCGAACTCACGGACCGCGAGATCGTGACCTGGCTGAAGTCGGACGCTTAACCGACTGCGCCACCCAGGCGCCCCTCTATGGTGGTTTAAAATCACGTTCAAACATTCTGCCGTGGTCCTTCCAACCAGGTGGAGTCTGAGTCCCGTCTCCTTGAATATGGGCCAGACTCTTCCAATGAATTGAATGAAACACAGGTGACTTCCAAGGCTAGGTCACAAATGGCTTCCATCTGGTTCTCTCTCTCTCTCTCTCTCTCTCTCTCTCTCTCTCTCTCTCACCACAGGTGTTCGGACCCTGGAGTTACCAGGCTAGCTGAGACGCTTTCAGACGATCCCAGCCCCAGCCACTGTCTGACCGCACGCACAAAGGAGCAGGAACGGCCGAGCTGAGCCCAGGCAACCCCCCAGGACCAACAAGAAAAAAGATACTCAGACGATGTTGTTTTAAGCCACTAGGTTTTGGGGTGATTTGTCCCACAGCAGTACGTAACTGTTCCCAAAGTCACCTCATTGCCCAAGATGGCTTCTGGAGCTTGAAGTTCATTTGCCCCCTCTGGGGACAGCAGCACAGAAGACTGAAATGCCAACTGGTCTGGAAAATCCAAGGCATCCGACTGCTATGCAGGTGGCCGTCAGCACTTGTCTGTGACCAATGGCTGACTATTTTGTCTTGCGGGTCACATATTTCTGCCCCTACTAGAGCCTGCCAAGCCACCATTCCACTCGGGGACAGCCCTGCTGAGGGCAGAGGGCTCTTTGGAACATGTGGTAGGGCCCTCTGAGGTCCTGGGGACAGAGGACATGCCTGCTGCCTGGGCTGGCAGCTGTTCCCCGTCTCGGCTCTAGCTCCGCCCTCACAGACCCCAGGTGACTTGGCACATGTCGTTGACACGGAGCCGCTCAATTTCCTGCCTTACCTCCCCTCTGGCCTCCTGGCTTGCAACCGAGTCTTCCTGTTTGGGGGCTGAGGGCTCTGCGGCTTCTCACCGGCTTTCTCTGAACCCCCGTCCCCCAAGGACAAGGTTTGGGGGGGGCAGGACGGGAGGGACAATAGCCCTTCTGGTGCAGTGGAGGCCTGGTCTCAGTTTCCTCATCTACAAAGCCCTCACGGGTTGCGGCTTTGTGATTCTGTAGTATTTGCTGACTGGCCTTGTTTCATGGGGCCAGGCCATTTGGAGGATCTCAAGGAAATGGTATCAGTTAGTGATCTTTCCACTGTAAACCCAACCCAAACCAATGTTAGCGAATGGAGGAATCCGTTGGTCTGTGTTACCGAATGGTCCAGGGGCGAACGCTTCAGGTATGGCTTGATCTAGGACCCAAAGATGACCCCAGTGCCCATTATTTTCTTTGTTTCCCCTGAATGGGCTTTAGTGGCTGCACAGTGGTTGTTCCCTGCCCCCCATCCCTGGAACTTCCAGCACCCTGACCTGCCCCCCCGCCCCCCGCCCATGCCTCCGCTGTAGCTGTTATACTCTGAGCCTTGCATTCTCCCACAACCAAACCCAGCCCAGAAGAAAGGCTGTGTCCCAGCCATCCCAGCAAAGGCCCCGATGTTCCCTTTGACTGAACCAATTCAGTCATGTGTGTTCTGTGATTAAGCCATTCAGGCTGATCCCTTGAAGCTGGGGGTGCAGCCAACCCTGACTTCCCAAACTACGTCGCTGGGAAAGAAAGGAAACGGATACTGGCAGTGTGTGTGTGTGTGTGTGTGTGTGTGTGTGTGTGTGTTTGCGAGGGGGTTACGTATCCTCAAAGATCACTCTGAAAGCAGATTTATACCCAGGATGAAGAAAGCTGGACCCCCAAATCCATATAGTGCAGTGCAGTTTGGCAATAGAAAGCTTCAGGTGAGCTCAGCAGTCAGGGAGGGCTTCTTGGAAGAGGCGGGCCTTGGATACTGAGGAGAATTTACACTGGAAGGTGCCTGGGGGGAAGGGCAGACAAGGACCCTCTTCTGTACGGTCCGCAGCCCGACAGCTTCTCTCAGTCTGGGAACTACAGTGATTGGAGTTTGACCAGGCCGTAATCGCAGAGGTAAAAGAGAAACCCCGTCCGGGGGTTAGGGGTAAATTGTGTCTTCCCCCAAATTCGTATGTTGAAATCCTAACCCCCCCCCCCCCCCCAGGACCTCAGGATGTGACTATATTTGGAGTACGGTCTTTAAATAGGTAATGAGGTTACCATGAGGTCACACGGGGGCAGGGGGGGCCCTGATCCAGCCTGATTGGCGTCCCCTCTAGAAGAGGAGGTTCGGACACAGACACACCCAGAGGGAGGAGCACGTGGGGACGCGGGGACACCGCGGGAGGGCAGCCGTCTGCAAGCCGCACAGGGAGACCTCAGGGGAAGCCAGCCTGGAGGCCCCTTGATCTCGGACTTCCGGCCTCCAGAAGCCCGGGACCATCAGGCTCCGTCGTTAAAGCCACTCAGCGTGTGGCTCCTCATTCCGGCCGCCCCGGCCGACTAATACAACTGCTTTCAAGAGTAGCGGGGTCCCCACCTCGCCTTTGCGCCTTCCTGCAGGGGCTGGCCTCCCTGTTCGGAGCCCGGCTGCGCTCCCGGCGCGAAGCCACCCCGGGGACTCTCCCCTGCTCCCCCTTTACCCCACAGCTGACACCCCAACTGCAGGGGCTTTGTCAGAACGCCCTCCTTGACGCCACCAAGCCCTCTTTATCCTTTACCTTCCTGATGGTCACTTGTCCCGGACCGTCCTTGAGCGCAAAAACCCTCGCCCTGGCCCCACGGTGTCTACTTTTGCTGAAGACGAAGCCAGATCCGGCCGAGTACGTCGCCTTGAGCAAGAGGAATCCACTTTGCTGAAGTTGAAAAGGGAGAGAAATCCATTAGTCAATGTAGGCGGCCGCTCAAGTAGGGGGGACTGAGGAGTGGGGGGGGGGGGGGGGGGG